TTGCTATGGCTTTATGAAGACCTGGCATGAGAATCACTGTGAGATTGTCATTTGTTTTATCCTAATTTCCTATGGGTTCTTTTCATGAATTTTATATAGCCATGACCGTCTCTTAGACTTTTAGATGGTTTGTCTTGAAGGGACATGAGACAAAGACAGCTAATTACTTCCAAATATCCATTCTCCTGGTGGTGCTTTAGAGAGGACTTTGCATTCTGTCACTCCCCTGACTGAGAAGGGAACTGTATTTCTCCTCTGCTTGAATTGGGCCTGGCACTGGGAGGAGTGCTTTGACCAGTAGAAGGTGGTGAAGTGCCATTACACCTAAGCTTTCGAGAAGACCTAGAAGATTCTTCCTTGTGTTTTTGGTCCCTTTTGTTGGAGAGAGGTTGAGTGGAGAGATCACATGGAGAGGCGGGACTGTGGGCATAATGAGAGACAGGCCCAAGAGTCCCGCATCTTAGTTGACTGCAACTGCATGAGGCCCTGAGTGAGACTGGTAGCACTGCGCAGCTGAGCCCACACAATCTACAGATCTGTGGGAGACAATGAGCCAGTTAATCTTAATTGTCAACTCGACTCCAGGAAGAGACTCTTGGAGAATTGTCTGGATCGTGGAGGTGCTGTTCCCTTCTCTGCTTCCTGGCCACCATGAAGTGAGAAACTTTGCCTTGCCACACCCTTTTGCCATACCATTCCTGCCTTAGAGCCAGCTGTTCATGGAATGAAACCTCTGAAACCAAGAGCCAAATTAAACCTCTCCTCCTTAAAGTTACGAGTATTGGACATTTTGTCCCAGCAATAGGAAACCTGGCTAATACAGATAATGAAATGGTTATTACGTTTATTTTTTGGTTGCTGTTACTTTAGGGTTGTTTGTTAGGTTGCAGTAAATAACCCAAACATCCCCTGTATCATTTAGTAAGTGAACTCTCATCTTTGTTTGGGCATATGGTAGTGCAGCTGACAGGCTACACTTCTTGGTTTTCCTTTCAGGAAGGTGTGGCTATTTGACTAAATTCTCGATAAGGACATATTTTGTGTGTTGCTTCCAGGATGTTACCTTAAAAGAGAGGCCCTTTTCTCCGTTTCTCAAATTTGCTATCTGGAACAGACATGATGGTTGGAGCTCTAGCAGCCATAATGAACCATGAAGACAAGAACCTCTTTCTAGGAATGGCAGTGTTTGGCCAGAAGGTACCTGGATCTCTGGTAACCTCATAGAGCGCTCATACTCCAGTCTCAAACTGCCGATTTCTACACATACTTAATATGAAAGGAAAGTATACCTCTTTTTTTTCTACTGTGGATTAAACCCAGGGCCTTTGAACTACATCCCTAGCCATTCAAAAATTGTTTTTAAATTTTGAGATAGGGTCTCCTTCAGGTGTAAGGAGACCAGTTGGCCAGGCTCCACCTTCCTCCCTCAGCTTCCCAGAGTGCTGGGATTACAGGCCTGTGCTATCAGGCCTGGTTTATATCTCATCTCTGATTAAAGCAAACCAGAACTTAATTCCAAATGACAGAGGACAAGACCAAATTTCAATATGAAGCATGTTACTTTGCCTTTGCAATAGGAACCTAAAGGGCCCCCGGGCACCGGTATGTGGGAGGGATGGTAGCTGAAAGGGCTCCTGAATATACAGCTTACAGGAAGGTTGATGACCAGATGGCTCTCTCCTCCCTTACATGTGTACAAGCTGGGGACTCTTAGGACCCTAGTGAGAGGAAAGATCGGTGACTAGAGGGCTGATGGGACACTGTCCTAAGAAATGGATGATGAACAACCTAAAGGGGCTCTTACTTCCACAGTATTCAAGCCATCGGTGGTCAGAATGCTCTTCAACTCCCCAGCTCAACCTAGGCTAAAATCTAGAAGGATTGGCTAATATGTGGCAGTTGGGCTGGCTGCTTGCCGAAAAGGCTACTGGGGTGCTAGGACACCAGCAGGCCAATGGCACTGAGGATCTCCAGACCAGGTCCCCAGCTCACAAGCAGACTGGTAACCTGGGACTTTCCTGCCACCAGCACCCTGGGACACCAGCTGAATTGGCTTTGGTTTAGCACAGGACAAGGTCATGCTGGGAGATCAAAGATTAGTAGAACCTGTTGTGTACTGCAAACATGTACTAAAAAAAAAAAAGAATCCTTTTGTGGGGATAGGTAGGTGGCTGGAAGAACCCTTAGGGCACCCATGTTCAGGAAAGATGGTGGACAAAATGGCTTTCACTTTTCCAGGTGAATAGCCTGTGGGCAGAAGAAAACTGTTTCCCAGCATGCAAGATGCTCTCAATAATACAGTACTTTGGCAGGAGAATTTACACAGTACTTTGGAGGCCTGAGGGTGGGTCTTTTAGCTCTATGCTCCTCAACAGGCCCTTGAAGGATCCACTGATACATGGATGTTCGGATGGCTAGTGCCTACAGTGGGCTCCAATTCCATCTATCTGGTAATCAGTGGGTACCTTGAAGGGTCCTTGATACACCAGCATAGAGGAAAGGATGGTGGCCAAGAAGTTCATACTTCCACAGTATACCCATGGCCTGGAAACGGAAGGCTCTCTGCTATGCAGTGGGTGAGAGCCATACAGTGGTCCAGAAAGTTCTCATTTCCATAACATGCAGCTTACTGATGGCTGGTTGGCTCTATTTCTCAGCACAATGGCAAGAAGGGTGGTGTTGAAACAACCCGTGGAACCTTAGCCAATATCCTGATTTCTTTTCTTTTTTTTTTTTTTTTTGTGGTACTGGGGATCAAACTCGGGACCTTGCGCTTGCGCTTTTGAGGCAGGTGCCTGAACCACTGAGGTAAATCCCCGGCTCCAATATCCAGATTTCTGAGAGGAAAACCCTGTAGGATACCAGCACATGACTGGGATGGCAACTGGAAAAAAAAGTTCCTGGTTCCTCAAATTAAGCTGACACAAAGGCACAAAGGGCCCTTGGCCCTATGGCATGTGAGGCCAGTATGGTCTTGGTTCTTGATTGTACACCAATGTGCAGTAGAACTGCCTGCACGGACCTTATTCCACACTGTGCAGTGAGCCTAAGGGCTGAAATGACCAGTGGAACCCTAGCAAACAGCCAGGCCTGACCAGAAGGGCTCCTGGGACAGCAGCATGGGAAATTATGGTTGCCACAAGGGCTCTTGCTTCCATATCACTTGGAAGTCTGAGGCTACAGGCACGTTTAGTAGCCCTGTCCACTGCAGCATGGAGATTATTATTATTTTTGCTGTGCCAGGGATTGAAGCCAGGGCCTCACACATGCTAGTCAAGCCCTCTGTCACTGAGCTACATCTCCAGCTGTTAGCCTGAGGATCTTAAGGACCCATGAATGTGCGAATTTGGTTGGCTGGTGGCTGGGATGGCCTTCAGTTCCATTCTCTAGTTGGAAAACAGAAAGCAGCTGGAAGACTCTTGGTGTACCAGCATGGAGAGAAAGATGGTGGCTGAGAGGGCTCTTTCTTCTACAGAATGTGGGCACATTGTAGCAAGAAGGGTCCTTAGCTTTCCACTACGCAAAGCACAGTGGTCAGAAGGCTCTCTCATTTCCATAACAAGTCCATAGGCTAATAGCCAGTTGGCTCACAGTTCCCCAATCCCAGGAAGGCTGAAGTTGAAATGACTCGTGGAACCCTAATGGGTGGCTGTGTTTGTGTGTTTGTGGTCAGTGGGGCCACTCTAGCCCCTGTTAACCAGTGAGGAAGGACAACAGTTCAAAGGAGCTTGTGTTCATGGTACCTGTAGTTCGAGGCCAGAAGAGCCCTTAGCTCCCCAGCACACAAGGCCCATATGGTAGAGTTCACATTCCACAGTACATAATGGCTAGTTTTTCCCAGCATGCAGGCTCAGGGTGCGTGCGTGCGTGCGTGCGTGCGTGTGTGTGTCAGTAGAACACTAGATGGCGCCAGATTTCCTATGGGCAATTTCCTTGGGAAACCAGCAGGCAGGAGATAGCAGATGAGTCCTGCTTCCTCAAGACGTGGTTGGTGTGAAGTCAGGAAGGGTCCTCTGCTCTACAGCATAAGGGACTAATATGGTGCTCAAAATGGCTCTCAACTGCACAGCTATGGGCAGGAAAACAGTAAGAATTGTCCATGGGTTCCCAGCATGCAGGGAGGCTGAGGACTAAAATGACCTGTGGAACCCTAGAAGGGAGTCAGGTTGGTGACTAGAAGGCCCTCTGGGGTACCAGCATGCTGGGAAAATCCTGGCCAAATGCTGTCTGTCTTCCACTGCATTCTGGACCTAATGGGGATGATGGCATATCCCATGGAGATCATGATCTTTTATCTGGATGCAATGACCAGATAACACTGATGTTTTGTTTTCGTGGAGAGGATGAATATTGTCCATGTCTGAGACGAGGCATGACCAGAGGAAGGAATGTGGCAAGACTGCTTTTAACAATGTTATTGTTCTCTTCTTCCTGGGCCCTAGCTTCCCTTGAAGTTAAATGTGGCCATGTGACTAAATTCCGGCTAAATGAATTTGAGTGGATGTGATGTGAGCCACATCTAGGCCTGGTTCATTATAAACTTCCCATGTGCCATCTTTTTCTCTGTCCATAGTCCAGTGGAGAGGATTTTGTACTGTAGATCTAAAGAAAAGTAGATTTGTAAGCAGGAACCTGGCCCCGTGAATGACTCTGTAGAGTAGACCCCTCTCCCCAAACTTCTCTGGGCAAGTGACATAAGTGAAAGAAAGCCTTTTATTTAGTTAAGCCACTGAAAAAAAATTTTTTTTTTGGTATCCGAAATCGAACTCAGGGCCTCTTGCTTGCCAGGCAGGCACTGCACCGCTGAGCTACATGGCCCTGAAAATTTAAGTATTATCTCCTATAGCAGCTAAAGTTATTGAGGTAGGAAGATAGGCAGGTAGATAGGACTTCCCAGCTAAAGCTAATTGGGAAAGGTGTGGCAAAATCCCTGGACGCATGCGCAGAACCATTCCCAAAGCCCTGCACGTGGACTTCTCGCGAGAACTCAAGCAGGTTTTTGATAGGATGACGCAACGTGACCTCAACACAGGAAATATAAGGAAGGGGCAATTGCCATTAAACTCTTGCTATCTTGTCTTTTCATCATAGTCTACTCTATGGTGTCAGATATATTTTAAAAATTTGTTTCTTTTTCCTTTTACTTGGCCCAAACTCACTCTGCAGAGCCTGGTTTTTTTTTCTCCCCCTACCTTTAATGTGAAACTTTGCCATCGTTTATGCTTGTTTCGTTCAATTCTTTGTTCGGGGCAAAACAAAACCCTAGAAATCCCCTCTAGAAGTGTTACAGTTGAATGGGCCAAAAATAGTCCAGGTTCTTGTGTATGACGAAGAAAGAATTGACAAGCTTAAACCTCTTGGTAAGTAGTAGCTACATTTATTGAAGATCAGGGGACGGTAGCAGCAGAACAGGCAGAAGGGCAAAGGGCAAAAGCAGGAAGAGGAACCAGCAGTTTGTAGGTCATAGGCCAAGCTGCTGTAGGTGGTGGAGTTGACTCTGTGCACGAGTGGGGCTGGCACGGGGTGGGGGTGGGGGTGAGGGTGGGGGTGGGGGTGAGGGTGGGGGTGGGGGCTCCGGGAGGAGGAAGAGGAACCCTGTTAACTCAAACTTTCAGTATTTAAAGGGTTAGAGGGGCCGGGGATCAGCTCAGTGGTTCCACGCCTGCCTCCCAAGCACAGGGACCCGAATTCGATCCCCAGTACCAAAAAAATAAAAATAAAGGATTAGACACCTTTAAGTCCACGTGCCTCCTATTGTGGTCAGATACCTCTGATGCCAGGTGCCTCCTATCTATCTCACTGGTGTCGATGATCTGCTGCTTAGGGCATTGCGACGTCCTAAGCTTAAATGCCGATAATCATTAGGGTGGTGTTTTGCCCGTAGTCGAACGAAGGAAAGGTAGTGGCTCCTCCAACCTTTTTGTTTTTAACTGTATTAGAAGGACACCACCCCAAGGCCTGGCAACATCTTTTCATTAATTTTCTTTTCTTTCTTTACTTTTTTCCCTGGATATTAAACTCAGGACCTTTGCACTGAGCTACACCCCCATTCCTTTTCAATTTTTTTTTTTAAAGTGTTTAATTTTGAGACTGGTTCTCACTAAATTGCCCAAGCTGGGCTTGAACTTGGGATCCTCCTACCTCAGTCTCCCAGAGTGCTGGGATTACTGGTGTGCACCACCACCATATCCAGCTGGTGGTGTTACTGTAACCAAACAACTGGGCATTTAGGACCAGGTGAGTTTTCTGAAACCCATTTTTAGACTTTAGGAGCCTTGTGGTTGGATGTGGTTTGGAGGATCGGCCTCACACTGCCGAACCTGAGCCTCTGGTCTTTGTTGTTGACTTCAACTTTGGTGAGTCTCTCCTTGGAGCTATACTTTCTGTGCACTAAACCTAAAATAAGATCTTGGTGGGCCAGGGATTTAGCTCAGTGGTTTTGCCGCCTGCTGCGCAAGCAGAAGGACCCGAGTTTGATCTCCGGTACCAAAAAAAAAAGATCTTGGACCTAGGCTACTGTCTAGGCAGAGAGCATATCCAGCTGGATGTTTCAATAGCCTCAAGGGCTTGTCTAAAGGAAAGACTATTTCCTTTTTCTTGTTAAAGTCTTTTCCCTAGCCCCTTCATTTTTTTCATGTACTGTGAATCAAATAAGTCAAAATTGGTCTTTACCTTTGTAGAAATTACACTGTGCGGTGGAGACATGAAGCAGATGGCAGCATAAATATTTAATGGATAGTACTTGGGGCATAGATTTTGAAGTATTTTGTTCTTGGAGCATAAATAGCAGGGGATCTAATTTATTGTGGGGGTTAGAGAAGACTTCATTGAGGAAGTGATAGACCTGAGAGATGAGCAGGAGTTATCTGCACTGTTATCGAGACTAGTAATTCTTATACTTGAGTGTGCATCAGAATCATCTGGAGTACTTCTAGAGCACCCATGGCTGGGCCCCATCCCAGAGTTGCTAAGTCACTAGCCTGGGGTGGGGGTGGTGATTTCTATTGCTAACCCATTCCAAATGTTACTGATGCTGCCCTTCAGGGACCACACTTTGAGAACCACTATTCTGGGCCATATCTCCAAACAAGTGTGCTGGGCCACAGTGGTGGGAAGTAAGTTGTAAGTCAGCTGAGAAACTGTTCTCTTTGGTTTTCAAGGGTAGCCAGGCTTAGAGGCTGGGGCAGAACTAAAAAGTGGATGGTCTCATGAATTCTCCTAGCATGTGCTACAAGCATTGTACTTATTTTCTATGCTGGCCAAAAGGCTGTGATAGTTTGGGAAGGACTAAGTTGGTCAAATGAGGAGAGGTGGCTAAGTATTCAGTAGAGAGGAGTTTGTCTGAGGGCCTTGGATCAGGAAAGAATGCTGCATCTTCACAGAACTGAGAGAAATCCAGTGAGGCTGTAGAGAAGATCCAGGGAAGATGGTGGAAAATGAATTTAGAGGGTTGCATCATGAAGGGCTTGGAGAACCTCATTCATTAAGGGTGCAAAATAATGGGAAGCTATTGGAGAATTGTAAGCTAAGGAATGGATTGGAAGTATGCAAGTATGCATGTGGGAAGACCAGTTAGGAAGCTACTGTATAGTCTAGGATAGAAATGATGGTGGGATGGTCCACCATGGGTAAGTGAAAATGAAAGCATTGGAAAGATGTATTGGAGGTCAATCAACAGAACTTAGTGATGATTGGATGTAGGGGTTGAAGAATAAGGAGGTATCTGATATGATTTGCAATTATTTAGCTTAAAATTGTTGTGTTGTTTTAGCAATGAGCCACACTGGTGGTCAGATTTGGGAGAAAGAGCAGTATTAGAGATGCCCTTGTTTTCATCATTTACTTGGAGATGTTGGGTGGTAGCTGAATACACAGCCCTACACATCAGAGGATGTTACTATAGTTTGAGTCTGGAATGTCCCCCAAGGGCCTGTGTGTTAAAGACTTGATTCTCAGCTTGGTGAAATTGGGAGGCGAGAGAAACCTTTAAGAGTTGGGGCTTGGAAGGTTTTATGTCATTGGTCATGTGTCCTCAAAGGGACCATGGGATGCCAGTCTCTTCCTCTCTCTTTGGGTTCCAAGCTATTAGGAGGTGAGCAGCTTTTTTCTACCATGTGCACCCACCATGATGTGCTGCATCAGCATGGGCCCAAAAGCAATGGGGCCAGCTGCTCATGGACCAAACCTCTGAAACCATGAACCCAAATAAACCTTTCTTCTTGTAAAGTTGATGAGCTCAGGTATTTTGTTACAGTGATGGAACGCTGACTAGCACAAACATACAGGATATGTGGTATGTGGTCTGGACCTAAGAGGGAATGCAATAGGTGCATGAGTTTAGACTTCAGAAAATGTCAGGATTGAGAGGAAGGGGGATAATGGGATGTTGGATAATAGGTACCAAAACATAGATGGAAGGAATAAGTTGTGGTGTTCCAAAGCACCCAAAGTTCAATGACTATAGTTCACAGTAACCTATTATATATTCTATGAAGATCTGGAAGAGACGAGCTTGAAGGCTCCAAACCTAAAAAAAATTATAGGAGAGGGAGAAGCTAATTACTCTGATTTGGTCAGTGTACTCTGGGTGCACATATTGCAATGGCACACTATGCCTCATTAATATGGACAGTTATTACATATTAAAAGTAAAACCAGACATGGTTCCATGTGCCTGTAGTTCCAGAACTTGAGAAGTTACAGTGGGAGGATCAACGGAGTCTAGGAGTTCAAGACCAGCCTAGGCATCATATCAAGACTCTGTCTCAAAATGAATAATTGATAATTTGAAATAGGAAAAAAGGTCCAAAGATGAAGGAGTGAAGGGAGGGGAAGGGGAAAGGAAAAGAGGGAAAGGAAAAACTATGAGAAAAGAAACAAATGAGAACAAAGTCTGTGTAAATAGGGAAGGGTAGAGGGGGTGAAGGGTGCATAGGTAATGGGAAAAACGAACTAAGATACATCATGTACAGGTACAAGCACCCAGTGATAAATGTAAATGTATTATTTACCTAAGATGTACCAATAAAAGAATTTAAGAAAAAAAAAAGACTGTCTCAACCTACAATGTAAAAATTTTTAGCAGCTGTACCTTAGACAAAGGACTACTATCTGGAATATATAAATAACTGAAAAAAATCAGATCCCCCAAATTAAAAAACCCAGTTCAAAAATGGGCATCTGAAACGAACAGATATTCCTCAAAGAATTAAAAGCAAATAAATATATGAAAAAATATTCAACATCACTGATCATTTGAGAAATGCAGATGAAAGCAACACTGAGATTCCACCTCACCCCAGAAAGAATGGCTGCTATCAAGAAATCAACCAATAACAAATGCTGGCGGGGGTGTGGGGAGAAAGGAACCCTTCACCATTGTTGGTGGGAGTACAGACTGGTGCAACCACTATGGAAATCAGTATGGAGATACCTCAAAGTACTAAGACTAGAGGTCCCATTTCACCCAGCTATTCCCCTGCTGGGGATCTTCCCCAAAGAATTAAAAGAATCATGCTACAGCGATATATGTACACCCATGTTTATAGCGGCACAGTTTGTAATAGCTAAAGCTTGGAAACAGGCCAAGTGCCCATCAACTGGAAACTGGATAAAGAAGATGTGATTTTTTTTTTTTTTTTTTTTTTTGGTGCTGAGGATCGAAGTCGGGACCTTGTGCTTTTGAGGCAGGCGGCAGAACCACTGAGCTAAATCCCTGGCCGAATATGTGGTTTTTTAATAAAATGGAGTACTACTCCACCATAAAGAATGAGACACTAGAGACACTTATAGCTAAATGGATTCATATTGAGGCCATACTCTTAAGTGAAATAAATAGGACACACGTGTAAATACCGAATAGTTTCTCTAGTGTGAGAAACTGAAAGTAAATAAGAATTAAAATGATTAAAACAAATAATTGATAATTTGAAATAGGAAGAAAAGGTCCAAACGGGTAGCGGTGGTGGGAGGGGAAGGGGAAAGGAAAGAAGGGAAAGGAAAAATTATGAGAAAAGAAACAAATGAGAACAAAGTCTGTGTAAATAGGGAAGGGTAGAGGGGGTGAAGGGTGCATAGGTAATGGGAAAAACGAACTAAGATACATCATGTACAGGTACAAGCACCCAGTGATAAATGTAAATGTATTATTTACCTAAGATGTACCAATAAAAGAATTTAAGAAAAAAAAAAGACTGTCTCAACATAAAATGAAGCTAGGCATGGTGCATGCCTGTAATCCCAGCATTCAGGAGGCTGAAGCAGGATTGCTGTGAGTTTGAGCCCTACATAGAGTTCAAGGCCACCCTGAACTACATAGTGAGAGCCTGTCTCAAAAAGCAAAATGCAAATAAACAAAAAATAAAATGAAAATAAAAATTAAACTAAATTAAAAAAAAAAGACCAAGCAAATGTTCAGCAGTTTTTAGTGTGCAGAGCAATGGTCCATGAGTCCATGGTAGGTATGTAGAGCAGAGACTGAAAATTCCAGTGAGGGGGCCAGGCAAGATTATACCTAAGTCAAGAGTTGGAGGCCAGCCTGGGCAGCCCAGTGAGACCCCCATCTCAAATAAAGAGAGCTGGGAAATAACTCAGTGGCAGAGCTCTTGCCTCGCATGTGCGAGCACCTAGGTTTGATCCTCATCCCTGCAAAAAAAAAATCTTACAATATAAATATGACAAGTTGATATGAAGTATCAGTATAGCATAGCAATATGAAGTTTAATGTTCCAGAATTTCAAGAACTCAACCTGGGCATCCCTAAATTATGTTTCCCGATACTTGCTTACTTATGGTAATAACGTGGAACAGCTCCAGTGAACTATAGAACTTACCCAAACCAGAGCACTCTGGAGTGTGAAAAGGAGGACTTTTAAAAGTGCTCCAGGGAAACAGGAAAAACCCAGAACTGTCCTGGCTAAAGTGGGTCACACAATCATTCTTGAGAGAGGTACACAATTGCACTGTCAGATCGAGTGGTGACAGAAGATCTTTGTATGCAAAAGTGATTTTCCCCTGAAATCTCATTCGCCTACATATGCTATAATAATGACACCTCAGTTTCACAAATAGGAGTCTTAGGCTAAGTGAGAGAAAATAATAAATACAGAATTTACTGTCTCCAGTTTCTTTGTTCTAAAGGGCATTTAGAAATTCAGAAGGATTTGCTTTGGTGTAGCCTTTTTAATCTTAGGTAATTTGGGCTTGAACTCTTAGAGAAGAAGACTATGAGGGTAAAAAGAAGACCAGATAAGTCTTCACTGAAAAGAAATGAAAATATTAACTAGTGGAATTAGTACACAAAAGAGGTAGGTTCAGTAGGGTCGTATCCTAGCAAACTAATGTACAGTGCATTTATATTCTCATGCAAGTAGATGAGATTCAATGGTATGCACAGAATTTAAATGTTTCAAATGACTCATCTGGAGCTTAGCTATAAGATCTAGCTGGCCCCTTTAGGCCAGAATGATTTGGGGAATGGTAGGTGAGATTAACAGGACGGTAATTTACATGTTTTCATTTTGTGTTTTTTATCTTCTCAAGTTTGAGGTGGGTCTCATACCTTTGCTAGAAGTCTTACTGGAACGTGAGGCACTGTTAAAAGACATTGGTACAGATGGACATTTCTGAGTAATCGGGTAAGTAGGCAAGCTGGCCTTTGTTCTCTGCATAATCTGACATGCACACAAAAAGCAGCATGTCTGGATTGGCAAAGAGATCTTTATTTCTTTTCCACAATGCATCGAGAACAGGGAGAAAGGGAATCGGAGTGTGAATTTCTGCCTTTGGGAGTGTGTGCCAGCAGGTTGAGCATAGGAAATGCTAATGGAAGTTATTCCTTCACGTCTTGTGTTGTATTACATTTTGTGCAGGGTCAGAAGCGCAGCCTCCCACTCCATGGGCTTGAGTGGAGCTAGGAAAAGAACAGCTGCTTGGGAAAGGAAATGTATCCATCTTCAGTGCTGCTCAGCTCCTGGCTGAAAGGGATAGTGCCCTTACCCCAGGAGGGCCATGGCTTTCCCATTGAAAAGATTTTTCATGTCTAGAGAGGTAATTGACATAATAAAACTATTAACACACTAAGTTCTTGAGTGTGTTGAAAGTTGCTGTCTTAATATTATCTTTAAATAAATTGTGTTAGTGTAGCATTTGTTTTCTGGACCAAGATGCTGTATTCTCCTGTGTACAGGCAACCCTGCTGAAGTCAATGGAAATATTTTGGGCACATTTAGATATTGATGATGGGGTCAGCAAAATAATAGTCACTATCACCGTTTTGTGTCTATTTAGTAACTGAACAGTGAAAATAATGAATTCTTCCTTCATTGTGGTATTTAGAAATTTATTCAAACTACCTTAATTTGGGGTCATGATAATGGTTCTATTCAAACCTGTAGCATTTTGTTACTTCATGTGTCCTGGATGGTGATTCTTATGCTGAATGGTGGAAGTCTATTACTGCTTGTCCAATTTGAAATTGATTTTAAGGGCCCAAGTTCATAGCATGCAAAACAAAATTCTTTGAAACTCCTTTGCTCAAATCTCGAGGTTCCTTCAATAAGTTTAATAAAAAATGAGCATAAAGTTATGAAAGCATTTTCTTCTTTTCTTTTTTCTTTCTCTCCTTCCCATTTTTTTTTTCTAGATGGGATGGAGATGGGGTTTGATTATGCTGCCCAGGTTAGTCTCAAACTGCTGGGCTCAAGCGATCTTCCTGCCTCAGTCTCTTGAGTGCTGAAACTATAGACCATGCCACTGAGTCTGGCAAGCGTAACTTTCCATTACCCTTCCAATGTTACGTTGCTTTAAAGATGTTTTATGTCAGAAACCTGTAGCAGTTCAGGGCAGCTCCTAAAGCACTTGATCAAATCCAAAGGAGGAACTTAACTCGGGAAACCACATCTGGGGGCGGGGCATCTTGGAGCCAGCATTTCTTGTACAGTGTCCAGGCAAGTGAGCTTTGAATTCTAGGATCTGGAAATGCAAGTGGGAAAATTGGGGCATCTTGTTAAGTACCAGATTGCCAGTGTAAGTGCAGCTCCTTCCTAATCCAGTCCTTGCTCGTGTTTGGAGCTCTGGGCAGGGAGCAACCGTTCATAAGAAACACGGGAAGTTTTAAAGCCATTTGTCTTTCAGCAAAGATATTTTTGTCTTTTATTTTGCATACAGAACATTCAGCACATACTTGTAAGAATCTTACTGGCTATTCAGACATGTAAATTCCTACCAAAAGGCTCTTATATTTGATATTATGTGTGGATGGGTCAGACTTAACTATGGTGTGATTTAGTTCAGTTCCTGGGGCTTCCATTTCCTCCTGCCTACTTTGGAAATCATTTCCTGGTGTTCTAATTCTGTATCTTGCCAAACAGCAAAAACACGGAGCAAAACCCCGGAAGTAGCTTATGGTTAAATTTCAAGTTTTCTGGCTCTTATCCAAACACTTGCGAGCTTCATTTGTGTTCACATATAAGAAAAGCCAACTCAGATCTCCTAATAATGCTTTATTTAGTGCTTAAACTTTAATTGCAGGGTATAAATGATACCATTAGGAACTGATATCAATACTAATGCCACCTATATTATTATTTACTCGGCTGAAAACTAAGCTTGTTGAAATATATTAACGCTGCACACTAGAACTACATGTTTAAAGCTTAATTCTGTGGCTGTTCATGAATTCTCAGGATACTACAGTGTCGAGGGCTTCCTAGCTTGAGCTAAATTCATTGTGAAATTTAAAGGATGAAATGTGTTTAGGGCATGTTTTTTTTAGGTCACAAAAACAAGCTGCTTTATTCAAAGGATGAACCACTGTGGAATCCTACCTAGCCCTTTCAGCTAACAAACAGTTAAATTTGGCATTTATGATGCATAAACTTTGCTCCTTAGCATCAAAATGTACCTTATTCATTCCGTAGATTTCTCTTTCAACCATGGCTATTGTTTGTCACTAACAGCTAGCTTTTGTGAAGTTAATAAATGTGCATAATAAGGACATAAAGGTATGGAGAAGTAATACAGTAATCCTTTTGTTTGGATAATCAGTCTAATGTATGCAAATTAAACCTTATTAGTACTAGGGTTTTGTGTCTGCTTATCAAAATGTGCCATTTTCATGAAAATTGGAAGTCCATTATATAAAGTTATTATTAACAATCATTTAGGAATTATATACGGTATGCAAATTAAAGTTGATTACAACTAATTAAGGGCTTTCTTTGTTATTTGACCTTGTCTGCTTTTTATGTAAATATGTTTCTTTTGGTCTGGCATATTTTTAGACTCAGAAAAGTATATTAAGACAAGTTACATTATGTATTTTTTAATATATCTTTGTATTGCCATTGTCTGTGCCCCTCATTTTGCAGATGCACATATGATATGTTAGAGCCATGCATCTTGCTGTTTGGGGATGTTTCTCTAGGTGAGTAGAATTTCAGAATCAGAAAACAATCAAATTTCCAGGTCCCTTCAATAAATTTAATGGAAAATGAGCACAAATCTAGTATAACATATAAACAGTCTTCATGCCAGAATACCCTTTTTTCCACTATTTATTGACTTCAGTAAATCTTGAGTTACAGATTTCTAAACAGAGCTATGCAATAAATGATCATAACTTGCTTACAAGGTGCCTTGCAAAACCTAATTGTTATATATGAAGATATTCAGCTAAAGATAAGAGACTTCACCACAGAAAATTTAACAGGTCCAGCACCTTAGACCTTTAGGAAGAACTATATGTTGCCGGTGAGAGTGGGGAGAGTTTTTCATTACACAAAGAGGAAACATTTGGAGTGAGGCTTTTCAACAGTTATTAAGTTATATCTTTCTGTTAGTGAAATTGTTGTAGTGGTTTTCTGTGTACAAAGAACCATCTTGATACAGTGGCTGGAGCAAAGGATCCTAGGATACTAGATTTAATTGCAGGATAAAAAAAGACCTGTTAATCAATAGCTTTTCAGTACCTAAATGCATATGAGTAGAAAAAGAAATGGGAAAATAATTAACCTCAGAAAAGGACCCAGGTTTTTGCAAGAGTGGAGAAAAACAGATAGTATCTAGATACAAAACGTGTCTAAATAAAAAATGTACAAGGTAGAAACTAAGAATCAAACTGAGGCAAGAGATTAGGGCATAGCCAGTCAGCTGGGCAAGTGAATGTGACCTGTCAGTCATGGAGATTCAGGAGACATGTGTGCAAGCCCTGTACCTGGGACCAATCAGAAAATGCTGTCTTGAGTTCTTCTGGTAGGAACTCAAGCAGGTTTTTGATAAGATAGCCTAGACCTGACATTAGCTTGGAGACTAGGGGATAAAAAAGAAAGCCATCATGGCTAGTGTGCTCTTTCTCTCCAGTTGCCTGTTCTCACTTTGCAGAGCATACTTCTTTTCCTACCTTTAATGTAAAAACCTTGCTACCTTTTGTGCATTTCTTGTCCAATTTTTTGTTCAGGGCAAGAATGTGGAAAGGACCCCTGGGAAGAGCAGAGCATCTCAGACCCCAGTAACAAAACTACCATTGAGTTCATCCAAATTTTTTGTTGGTTGGTTTTTGATTTTTTGAGACAGGGTCATGCTGTGTAGTCCATGCTGGCCTTGAACTCACTACAGAGCCCAAGCTAGCCTCAAACTCGTGGCCATTCTCTTGCCTCAGCCTCCAAAGTGGTGGGATAACAGGTGTGTGCCACCATGCCTGGCTGAGTTCATCCAAATTTTAAACATTCTTTTTTTTTCTACTTTAAAAAAATAGCAGTTTAATCTTTGAAAAATGTTATTTGATCTCATGATCTTTCTGTCTCAGCTTCCTGAGTGTTGGGATTATAGGTATGCTAAAAGCAACTATGTGCTGAAAGTAAACTTTAGTCAGAATGTAATATACAAACAACTGATTAACTTTTCACAAAGTCAGCACTCTGATATAACCTGGACCCAGATGAAGAAGTAGTACATTAACAGGACTCCAGTAGCCAGAGTATTGAGTGTGCCAGTCTATGAATATGGTATATCTCGTGTAAAGGGATGCTTTATGATTCAGTAGCCTCCCTGGAGAGTAAACAAATCAAGGTGACGCTAAGTGCATAGATTTCTCTGGGTATTGAGGGTCCCTGCTGAGAGCAGATGTTCTACTTCACCATATCCTCTAGAATGGATACAAATGTGCTCCTGGGCTTTATGGCGTGGTTAAAGGTTCCATATGGAGCCTGCAGGTATTCAACGTCTTCCTCCCTCCACAAAGGACTTCTTACTCACTTCTTATCACTTCTTATCACTTCTTACTCCACATATCACTTCTTACTGTTGGTCCAATTCCTCAGCTGACAGTTTTCAGTATAATACAGAGCACAGCTCCTTTGGTAGATGCTAGCTTTAGGTGCAGTGGTCTTAGCAAACATTTTTTTTGTTCCAAAAAGAAGCAGAGTTTGTCCTTAGGTTCAAAATATGCCCAGCTAAGATACATAAGCTATTACTTAGTTTCCTTGTATTTTTGAGGTCAAGGTTTTCTAATAGTTCTAGGCATTTTCTTTTCCCTCAGCAAAGTGTAGGACATTGGAATTCCCAATTCTGTGGATATTTAATAAAACCAAAAAGAAAAAAAACAAAGCAAAACCAAAAAACCTCATTTAGGCCAGGTGTGTTGGTACATGCCTTAAGCAAGAGGATCTCTGCAAGTTTGAGGCTAGCCTGGGCTACATAGTTCAAGACCAGCTTGGAATATATCATGAGACCCTGTCTCAAAAACAAAAAACCAAAACTTCTCATTTGCACCATAGCTCAGTAGGTACAAATGGAAAAAGGATCTCATGAGATGGGCCTCACAGATAATACAGGCTGTGTCTGTATTGTACTATAATAAAGGTGCTGCTGTGGGTGTAGCTTTCTGCCTTCTAGGAAGATCCTTTGCTCTTGTAGGTGTTGCTGGGTATGCCTGGAGAAGCTCCAAAAAGGTTAATGAGTGCCTGTGTAGGCAAGAGAGGGAAGATTGAAAGAGAACCCAGGAAATTCTCACAATGGTGCATGGAAAAGGAGGTAAATGCCAAGTCTCTAGTCAGCCTTGAGAACAATGTAGAGAAATATAAACACAAGGAGAGGTTTGGGTGACGCCCCCTTCTGTCAAGTGACTCGATGTGTAATCAGCACTTCTTTCCCAAGCGCTAACTGCCTCTGAGCCTGGGAATGGGAGGGAGGAACACAAAATGCTTTCACCTGGCCCTCAGCAAATGGCAAAACCAGACTGGGCTGACCACAGTTAAGCTGTATGAACCCTAAGAACAGGGTCCTCAAAGTTACCATCTTGCTTTAGAAGGTTTATCATTTTACATTTCTCAAAATAACACGGTAACATTATAGGCAACACAAGATTCAAGCTATGTGAGTCTCTTAATTCAGGCAGAATTTAATGTGTAATTAAGATTAATTAGACCATAATGGAATTGTAGACACATGATTATTGCATCATATTCCTTGCAGGCATACATCTTGCTTTCATATCATTTTCACTCTTCAGGATGAGAAGTGTGCTGAAAGGCAGAGCCAATGAAAGCCAGCTGCATTTTACAGGATATATTTGTTACAAGGTTGTTTTGGAAGTTAATTTTTGCCATCGGTTGTTTCAGAAGTGCTTGAAATGTGCTCAAATGTGAAGATCTTTAGAATACAGTATCTTGCTTTTTTGTTTGTTTTGAGAAAAAGTCAGCTTTAAAACATTTCCATCAGAAGCTGCAAGTATTTGTTTGTGTTGTTATCAAGCTTAGGAAATCACCTGAGTGTTTGGATTGTGTGTGAAAGTAAAAGGAATTTGTTTCTTGGCAATAAATTTAAATATGGTTAGGAGTTTGGACATGTTTTAGGATAGACCTCTTGCTGAATGAAAGAAGATGGGGTAATCCTTTAGGAAATTTTGACTTTCTATTAGAGAAAAAGAAATTCAAAGAAGGAAATTCTATCTGGTGCACACTTGTAATCCCAGATACTCAGGAAGCTGAGTTTAGTGTGGGCAATTTAGTGAGACCCTGTCCCAAATGCAAAGCAGAGGCTAGGGGCTGGGGATGTAGCTCAGTGGTAGAGTGCTTGTCCAGCATGCACGAGGCCCTAGACTGAATCTCCAGTACTGCCCCAAACCAAACCAAACCAAACCAAACCAAAACCAAAATAACAAAAAACAAAACAAAATGAAAAAAGGAGGGCCAGGGATTTAGCTCAGTGGTTCTGCCGCCTGCCTTGCAAGCACAAGGTCCCGAGTTCAAACCCCGGTACCAAAAAAAAAAAAAGGATATTCTTTTATAGACTATAGTACTTTATTTAAATATGTAACAAATATGGCAACTTTGAGTCAATACGTAAGCCTACCTAGTTAGACCTACAGTTTTTTTTAACTTCGATTTTGTTGACTTCCTCAGTACTAAAAGCGAATGTTTCTTAAAATTGAGTAAACTACATATCCTTTAATCCATACCTTTTATTATGGATGATTTAAAATACACATTGAGACTTTCATTGTGTGGAACTGGGGAGATACTGAAGGCCTTCGCACTGAGCTACCTCTCCAGCCCTTTTTTATTTTTTGAGACAGGGTCTTGCTAAATTCCCCAGGCTGTGCTTGAACTTGTGATCCTCTTGGTTCAGCTTCCCAAAGTGCTGGGATAACATGTGTGTGCCACTATGCCTGGCTTATTCAGATTCTTTGAAAAATATATTTTTTGCACTTTAATTTTTTTTTTTGGTACCGGGGATCGAACTCGGGTCCTTGCACTTGTGAGGCAGGCGCTGGAACCACTGAGCTAAATCCCCGGCCCTGACTTTAATGTTAATTCAAATTATTTTTATTATATGCTAACAAAAGATCAGTTATAACTCCTGCTTATGGCTCTTATACAAGTATAAAGTGTTATGGCTTGTGTTTAGATGTCCTCCTAAAGGCTCATGTAGTCTTTTTCAGAGGTAGTTGAATCTGGAATGTGTGATGCTGGGGTTAAGGGCATGTGGTTACTAAACCACTAAGATGAGTGATTGGTTTGGCACCACCCTAATCCCAGTAGTCTGGATGGGATAAAAGGGGCAGAAAGACACTGTTAAGGCCTCTTGTTGCTTTTGCTGTCTTCTACCTCCATGAACTGTTGTCCCTCTGCCATCCTGCCTTGGAGCCAGCTGATTATGGATTGAAACCTCTATGAAGTGTAAGCCAAATCTTTCCCCCTTTAACTTTGAGTGTCAGGTATTTTGTCTCAGCAACAAGAGAAAAGTAAGACATAAAGCCAAATCAACATATAGGAAATACTAGCAAATGTCTAACTCATAATATTTAAATTAACAGAAATTTAAAGTAAAGGATGATGTCATTTTTCTGGAACTACTTCTTAAACCTTCCTTTTCCCGCCACTAGGTCGCAGCAATACAAGCCATCCTACTCTGGCTGAAGTGATT